CAATTTCCCATTCCGTGAAATTTACCAATTATCCCATCTGTGTCTCTAACCCTAAACGAATCTTAAGAAACCAACCCCTGGGACCAAGCTTGACAAAAGTTACCTTCTACATAAATTGTTTCAAAAATTTCTATTTTTATCCAACAGCCGGATATTGGTACGGTTTATCTCGTTTATTAATGAGTCCGCATTACCGGACGTGTCGGAAAACGATGGGGCAACTAATTCGGACGCATCCCCATCGCGCGCTGCGGGGCGAATAGACCTAGGCGCCACGTGGACGCGTGCGGATCAAATTGCTCATCCTGCCAAGCCCATTTCTCCACCACTAACACCACCACATGAGCACACCGAGGGCTTAAAACATGGCCGAAACTATTTGATAGGGCCGACGCAATTCAAATATTAGCACTGGCAGTACGCGCGAGTAGACTTAGAAGATGACCAGATCCGCACCCGCCGAAAGAGGGGGACTAATAGTCCAGTCGCGCTAAGCCACCCGGAGGTGTTGGAACGTATTTTCGCCACGTCTTAGGATAATTAATCATAAGAAGCTGTCTACATTTGATCCGGTATAATTACGCAAAGATAAAAAGTCAGAAAATTATTGTCGGAGCTTAGTCAGCCACATCAAGAGCTCTACAAATAAAAATTAATTATTTTCCTCACAAATTAATATTAATCTTTTAAAACCCACGACAGACATTCGTAAATTAAGATAAAACAGTCCACCTAGATAGGAAAGGAACTGAACTGAAACACATGTTTCCACATTCTAATTGCACTTCAACAGATCCCTCATCGGTCGGATAGAATCTTTTAATCGCTTTGGATTTCTGGATTTGCACGTCGCGCGCATACTGGACATTTGACAAATGATATCGAAATCAAATTGGACACATAGACGAGTATATCTCGTGCGATGATGAGAAGACCTAGCCTCGGGACATTGGAACCCTCGGCTGGAAGATATCTTAACATCACAATACAAGTATTAATATGTTTCGCCCGGGTTGGTATTCTATAAAAGGGTTAACACATCACTTCGATGAAAGTGTGAGTTATTGTGTCCTGCTTCAATATGCTCAGCACTCGACAAGCAAATTCATCTCTCGCGTATTTCAAGGGGAGCTAAACTCGCAATGGCCGGGGTCCAGACATCGGTTCAGACATCTACGAAGGTAGCATATGCAGTTATTGTAAACGTAAAAGGTTTTCCGGCTGCACTTCATATTTCATTTTGGCGGACAGACGTCGTCATTAAAGCGCGTTCGGTTCAACTGAACATTACAATTAAAATTACCCCATACAACCCTTCCACGAGTGTCTAATTTAGAGAAAACCCTTTTGAGATTTATCAATATAAATGCTTTGATTTGAAAAGTTTGAAAGTTTTTTTTTTATTATTTTAAGCGTTGATTAATACATAAATTATTCTCTAATTTATTTTACGACTCTAGCAGTTTCTTTGTTAAACTCTGCCTGAGGAGTAAACAAGATAAATAATAAAAGAGTCCAAGCACTCAGTAAACGACCCGAACCATCAAATCAATTTAGTTTTTATTGGCCTTTATTGGCCCGGACGCGATTACTCGAATTAGTTCTTCACTCTTTCTTTCTAGCCGTCTGTCTGCCTACGAATAAGTGGCACACAGACGCACGGTGGATTTCTGAGATGCTCAACTGAGCAAACTGAAAGCCTGATGAGACAGAATAGATTTAGATCTTTTGAAAGCCTTTGAACTGTTCATACTCAAGTCAAACAAATTTAATCATCAATATTCCCCACAAAAAAACTAACTTTTAATATATTTTAAATAAATATTTTAAATTCGGTGTTGTTGATATCTTATGTAAGAGTTTACGTTTGGGTTGTCTCTGCCTGTCTGTGTCAGTCGGGGCGCGAGCGTATGCGTGTCGAGTTCGGGTCAATACTCTGGTTTTTAGTTACGCGTGTTCGCCGCCGTCGCCGCCACCAGCCGGAGGTGGCAGTGCGCTCACGCCACTGTCAGGGGCACGAGACGGGCTCACGGCCAAATGTCGTCCCATTGTTTTCACGTTTTTCCGCGATTTTTTTTTGTGTGCTCAGAACAGTGCCAAAGTCCTGCTGCTCTCCCCCGAAAAATACATCGCTATCTCGTACACTTCGCCTGGTTCATCAGTATTTCAGTCTCGGCGTTTAATGCGTCTGGACTGAACGCGCAGAAGGGCAGCAGGCGACTAATTGCTTCTTTATTACATTCAGAATACATTCAAAAGGTGCTGCACGTTGCACCCAACGTGACATTTTAAATAAAACCAAAGAAAAAACAATGAAACTCGGAATATTTTATAAGATACGTTTTAACTGAAAAATTCAACCTTTTTTTTGCCTTTCCAGCTTCTTTTTTGCTTTACTGCTCGAAAAGCAAGAAAAAAAAACATCAATATCAAGTTCCGTTATTGATAACGTCATTTGCGTACAATTGATGAGTAACGATCGCGTCGTGCATCCGACCGCGCGCGTTCGCGGATTAGACTCGGCGTCCCGCCACCCCCCGGGACTCTGCCGCCGCTGCCGCCGCCGACGTCTGCCTCGACTTTGCCCAAAGTGATGAGGGTGCCGCCGTCGAACGCCTCGCAAAGCTTTGCATGCGTCGATCGAAAGAAAACCCGCCGCCCGATACTTTCAATAACGTCGGGGCGAAATTCAGCCCAAGAAACGAAACAAAAAAGAAATCGCCGAGAAAGCGTTTTTGAGGCGAGGAAAATCGATGTGTTTGAACTTGAAAACTTGCAAACTGGAATTTCACGCGTGCCAGCATTATTTCACTTTTATTTCGTAAACCGTCGTGAATCTTTACATTGACAAGCTTAACAAAAGCGAACAAAAAATCATTATACGTCAGACAGCTTCGCTTGAATGCCCACAACAAGTGAAATTACGATTTTATTGATGACTTGTATGCAAACATAAAATTCAAGTTTTCTTTACCTACCGCCTGATAGCGTATTATTTATTAATTTCGGGGGTATTTAGACGGGAGAATGAAAGTCAAAAGTTTTCAAAACGCAGGTAATTCGAAATTAATTTTGATTTAATAAAAGCATTTCAAATGTTTATGTTTTGCTCTGTTTATGGTTTGTGTCTGCGTTTCTCATTCTGTAACAGCCGAAATTTCATAATCCCCAATCACCGTTAATGCACACTAAGTGCTCGTAAAGTTTACAGCTTCCGAGTCGCAAGGGTGTTTCATTTGCCACCTTTTGGCGGTTTACATCCTGCCCTTGCAACACTGCGCGCTGGGAATTATTGAGAGCCGTTATGGTTTTTAATGCTCCTGTTTCCATAGAGACAACGGTCATGTCTGTTTAATAGACACCAGCGCGAAAGATGAAAACGAGTGTAAATCCACTCGTAAAATATGTTATTATTCATGATTAAATCCGCCATTTTGTTGACACGACGGCGGCCATTTTCTACAATATATTATTGACTAGAGGTGCGCTGGCGATGTCTTTCGAGGAAATTCCGTCCAGTAAATTGCTTTCCCACCGGCGCCTCTAATATACCATTCTCTCTAACAATAGTCACTAGTTAGTTCTTGGTCTCTGGTACATGGCGACAGGAGCAGTTCACAGTCCGCATCTCATTTGTATTCATAGCGCTCGACACACATTTGTACTCACCTACCAGCGCATTTAACCGCACCACCATCGTGTCAACTGAACATGAACATTCACAGGCCGCCTCACTCACCTACAGTGCACGTACGTGTGCACACATTGAGGTGCATCCTACATTCGGACATTCGTGGACACTACTCGTACTGCAATCCGGTACACTGTTATTAGCACAACTCAGATGCTCGACTCATAGTCAGATCCACCATTGGTTTCAGGATTATAGGGAACATCACGACTCACACAAGAGAAGCAAAGTTAAACGTAAATACGAGGAGCGTTCAGCTGTAGGACTGGACACAACCGACTTTTAGCACATGAGAATTAAACTAATGATGGAGACGGAGCTGCATGCCGAGTGGACGTCGAGTTACGACTTGAAAATTAAGTTCAACGTTTCCATGTCTCGTCCGGCAGTTTAACTCGAGTTGTAATTCGCTACTAATAGTGATAACAATCTGCAGAGAGATACCAGAAATCACAGATGTATTATCCTCAAAATAAAAATTTAAAAAAATATTCAAAATTGAATTATGACGTATCCCTTTTGACTCCATTAGGAACAAAACGTGTTAGTTGGGTTGCATACGCGTCGGATTTATCAATTTACCGAGCGCAAGCTAGAAATTGAATTAACTCGCCAACCAGTTCAGTTCATAATCTGGGGGCCCGCCTAGAGTTGGCAAAGTGCACTAGAAACTACGCTGTCTCTCCTAAAGTCTCTATTATACAACTGACTATGCATCGTCAATTCGTTTAGCACTACACTAAGGCACTCAATGCATCAATGCAGACATTATTAAGTTAAACTTTTGATTAGTTTGTATAAAAAACTAGCTTTAACCCGTGGCTTCGTTCGCGAATATCAAAAATAATGAAGTTGCTTCCGTACGCGTCTGTAGTCACAGAAGAAGTAACAATGAAATAGAATGGCGGGAAGTTTGAAATGGCTGAAAGTATAGTCTATGGAAGTATAGTGTACAGTCTCCATAGTGTAGTCAATTGGATTTGATGTTGACGTAGCTGTCGGTAATACAGTGTGATAATACAGTGTGATGGTACTATAGTACTTAGGTTTGAGCTTCATTGCTGGAATGCTAGATGGCGTTAAAGTAGTCAAATAGCCAGATGCAGAGGTATTATTGGCTAAACCATTTCTTTATTTTATTTAAAAAATATTATTTTTATTAAATAAAAAGTAGCCTATAACCATTCGGGGACCACTAAGGATATGTGTACAAATTTTCATGATGATCGGTTAAGTAGTTTTTGCGTGAAAGTGTAACAAACATCAGGACTTTCGCATTTATAATATTAGTAGGGATTAAATAACTCACCCCCTTGAGCCAAGAAGGTCTCCTGCTGTCCGGACCCATCATCATCCACGGGTAGTGCATAATCAGGACGACGTCGCAAAGAAGTCGCGTGTAAGGAGGGCCCGCGCGGGGGCACCTCAGGCGGAGCCGGCTCCGGTGGAGATTCCTCATTCACTTCTGCAAACAATAAATAACCACAAGTTGTAGTTGAATGTAATCGCGTCGATTCATCAACGCGCAGCGCCTTGATCAACCGATCAATCAATCATTGCCATGGGCGGCGCAACACGTGTGCGGATCGATGTAAGAAAGAAGCCCACACTTTGGGACTTCAGGTGCGGGGTAGCGCTAATCGATGACCGCCACCAGCGTCAAAGTTAGCCGAGTCGAAGTTCAAGTGCTCTTCCGAGAGGGCGAACGCCGACCCCCGCCGGACCAATTAATTATATTACGTGTACACAAGTCATCCATTATCCTTTCCATGTGCGCGCGATATACGGTTACGCGTTGGAAATATTTACGTGCAATTTATGAGTGTAATTCATCTTTTTTAATAACCACTGCGTAGTGAATCGGTAAAACAAGTTAAAAAATATATTCCAAAGCGGATTGTTATGAATTTACACCAGGAAATTAATTAATTTTAATTTTAATTGAATACTACGAACACATTGTATATTTTGGTAGCTGTGAGTTGATTTTGTTGTTTTGAGTGATTAATTTGATTATTTTAATAGAAATAAATGTTTTTTTGAGTTGTTTGGTAGCACCTTGTATAAATAGTAATAAAACTCTTTGAAACTTGACTCTTTCGAATGTCGAATGAACTCCGACTGGCCCAATCTAATTATAAACTTGCTCTCGTGTTTTCTCTATCCGCATACACTTGTTGGTTTGGCGAGTTGTGCAATGCACTCTTCGCTTCACCCTTCGTTTGGCCGGTGCCCACGCGGGGGTATTTCGTTTCGCTTTTACATTACACAAAGTTAGCGCAAACGGCTTTAGTAATCCAACACTACGGAAAGCTTTTTCTGCTTCGCAAAACTAAAATAACAGCATTAAAAAAATTAAATTTCCTTAAATGTCATTTGAGCCGTTTAGTGATATAAAACAGATTTTTTTTATATTTAATTTTTTTTACTTGCAAAAAGTGGGTATTTACATGTCGAGCAGCCGGAAAACTAAGGAAACTAAGGTATAACGAGATAATTTGGTTAACAAGAGGCGAGCGCCGCTGCCGGGCGACACCTATCCGACTCTTCTTGCGACGGAGGAGGCGGTAAGGCAATTAGGAGTCGTCACTCATTAGGCTAACTTCGCAGCGCGGCGCGACACGACGCCGTTGATGTCGCAAACCGCGCAAGAGTCGGGGCGTTAATCGCGTTAGTCGCGTTACCAGATCGTACTTTAACAACGTAACAGCGACGGAATCCTATAACATCCGACCCGAAATCCGTAGAACACTGTATGCAACTAGTTTAACATTCGCAAATCTCCAGCCGCGATGCCGGTTCAAAAATAAAAATAAACAAAAGAAGAAAAATATTTCGATCGACTTGTTTTGTTTTGTTTTGTTTTGTTCACGTCGGTGAATGTAAAAGTGCAACGCATGCGCAGAAGAGAAAAGAAGCGTCACAAGAGCAACGTTTAGAAACGTTTTAACTGAGATTCACTCCAAAATGTAGAAAAAACAGGTTAAAACCTTATATTTGCTAACTAACGCTAAATTATTACGTTTATCGAATTGTTAGTTATTGTATATGATGTATTCTTACCGATTTCACTTGTAGTTGCCCAGAATTTTGTTAATTTCACACGAAAATACCGAGATTACAAGCAGAGCGAAATTAACACGCGCGCACAACTCGAAGACTCTGCTGTTACTGACGAATTGATGCAAGTCGACGATTAAAAACAGGTTTTTTCGCTTGAAACTGATAAGAAACGTGTGGAATATTCACTTCTTGGTTCACTTGTTTAGATCTTTGCATCGACTAACCAATACAAATAATATTGGCATATAAAACGCATGTTTTGTGTGTATGTTTGGTTGCCTATATTAAATATGATTTGAACGTAGTTTGATTTCCGCGCACGTTTTTAACTCGAAATAAATTCTGAATTTAATTAAAATCCAGCCGGAATTAATTAAACGCAATAATAAATTCTCCTCCCACGGATTGCTTACCGTTGTTAAGACATATCCTCTGCCCCTGGGCATCCGGGTGATAGGAGATGTCGTTGCGTCCGGCCGGATCGGTGCAGCTGTTGCAGGAGGTGGCCGAGGACGAGGAAGTCATGCCGCCGGCGCCGCGATGCCGCCGCCCGCTCCGCCCCAGCGTCGTATTGTTACCAACGAGCGACTTCTTGTTGCTCGCATAGACGACTTCACCTGCACAAATAAAATCAACAAATAAACAACACGCAAATCCAGAATCTCCTTATTCTGCAGCATCAGGTTTTAACACAAAAGAAATAAATCAAAATTCGCAAGAGGAAAGTTGAAAAATCCCGAAAACAAACAAAAGAAAAGTTGGGAATGTGCAGGAAATGCATGCAGGTGTTTATGTTTAGGAAATGTATTGTTTTAGGCTACTTTTAGGGAGAAGCAGGAAATACGCAAGGAAAACTTTCCGTTTCCGGAAGCATGCGTACCATTGTTACCACGCAGGCGGTCTTGAGGGGTTGCGTAGATAATACGCCGCGTGTTGGTGTTTTCGTGCGGAAACGGCGACGCCTGTCGATGCATCGGGAGCGGCGAGCGCGGAGACAATACATTTGTCGGGGGCGGCGTTGGGAACGGCGTCGTTGGGTTGTCCGTCGTATGCGCGTCTTCAGTGTCATCCGATCTATAGGAACGGTCTAAACCTGTAAAATAATTGAAAAAAATTGTAGATAAAATATTTTTAAATTTTCCACTTTGAAAAACATGATTACTTTTCCAACAACTTCAATTTGTGCGCTCAACTGCTTTTTATTATTACCGGAAAGAAAATACATGATGGCAACTTAATCAGCAGGCAAGTTATTCGCGGCGTCCTTAGAAAGTCGAGCGCGCTCCTCGACGAAATCACGGCAATCTTGCTTATTATCGTCGTCGGCGAGAATGAGGGCGGGCTTCTTTCGCTAACAATTTCGCGTCCAACTAGTTAGACGTTCTGCACCACCTTACAAGCTTTGAACGAGTCGGGTTTATATTTCCTTGTTATATTTTCAAAGCACACCTAACAACTAACTATACATACAGTATGTTCATGGAAATATTAAATATTAAATAATAAAATAGTGATTTTGGGATTTTTATTGTATTTAGCACTTGAAACACCTTGTATTTCATGGAAGAAGTGTATGGTGTAGACGCGTAGAGTCCTTCCTTCTCACAGTTTAGAGGTGTATGAAATTACCTGATTAAATTTTCATATTCAATCTTGAGTTGTTTGCCCCGGGGAGGCAGCGCGACGTTAGCAAGAAGCCCGGCGCTTCGTTCGGGGAGCAAGAAAGCATCGCTCGCGGGCGTTCTTCCTTCTTCGTGTTCCTTCAGGCATGCGGCGCGCGTCGAGTCTTTAATTCTGTTTAGAGACTTTCCATCTACTTGTACTCAACTACTACTACACTCACATTGAACTCTCAGAATTTTTTTTTGCAAAAAAATCAAATATTTAATTTTTTCACTTTTTTCACTAATTTAAGTAAAAATATAATAAATGCTGTTGTCGACATTTATTAAGTGCATTGCGTAAATATCATACTCGTATCCAAAAACAAGAAATTTCGCCGCATGTTGTTTACGCCGTATTAAACATTAAAGCACGCAAAGGCAGAAAGCGCTGATTTATCTCATTAATTATTGCACACAGTGATGAAGAGATAAAGCGGTTGGCGGCGCTGATGCCGGAAAAACTCTCAGCGTACGCGTGCGAATTTGATATTCTAATCCATGCGAAACGCCAGAAGCACCGGAATCGTAAAAACACAACAGCACAACCACCGCAATCGTCGAATGCTGAACGAAACGAAACGCTCGACTTCCGACATCCTATTTGGGATACACACAACTTCCTTCTGCTCGTGCATTTCCGCAAAGCGCTTTATACTACACACATGAACATGGAAGGGAAAATGCTTAAAAGCTAATGTTAATGCGTGCATAATCCATGTTTGTGAAAACACGGCATATCTGAATGACAAAATAATAGAAAATATGTTTTGTAGATGTAGATGACAATCTCATCAAGTTGAGGAAGATGAAAAGTTTTCGAATCAAAAATGCAGGAATTTATACAGCCGGATCTGTTTGAGACTGTCCGGCGAGAGATGCTAAAGATCGAAAGAACATGAAGAACGCAAAGGCATCAAGCGCAGACACTGGAAAGCTCCGAGGATCTTGAAGGTTCCTCGGCTCGCGACTTACGAGTCGCCCTTTGCGTCCCACTCCTTGTGAGTTGGGTCTGGTGTCTCGTCAAGAGGAGGAAACTCGGAAATGTTTTATGATCGTCGTACGCCAGGAAGATGCTAACGTTTTACTGCGCTGCGCTGCCCGCAACTAAGACTTTGTGCGAGATACACTATGAAGGGAAATTTTTCACGATTTCTCAGATTTTATACGCGTCATTTATATAAAAGTTAAGATGCGCTGGAAATTCCAGTCAGATGCTATTATCATACGAGTTTTGAGTATAATAAAACGCAAAAAAGCGATAACACACAACTAAAGCATGTCGGAAAGTCTTGTTAGAATTTTTACTGATTTTCACAAACATATGCAACCCACAACGCTGAAATTTCTTATTTTTGAGGTTCAGAGTGGCTTCTTCAGCAGACGTTTTCTTTGTGGCGCGCAGTTAGATTGAAATTTGGCGTGCGCGATTGAAAGCAGCACGTGCAATTTCCGCGCGTGCCCCTCTTATTATTTTATGTAAATGATGTAATATAGGTGCAAGCAGACACCCGAGAACACCCACATTTTACCCTCACATATATGCCCTTGACTTTTGTGCGTCATATCTTCATATTGGATGAATTTTATTGAAGAAAAAATATTTTTTCGAATTTAAAATTTTGAACAATGTGTATAATTGCAATATTGTACTTTGGCTTACAAGAAGCAGGTAAAGTAGAGCGCGCGTGGTGTGTTTCTGGAGTTATAGATTCGTGTTTGAGTTTTGGGGCTTGGGTTTTGTTGAAACAGGTGTTCGTTTTCAATTTTCATTATATTACTACACGGGCGCGCATATTCCGCGTGCATAGCCCGACTGGTGTGTTATTCTTTCTTTTTCGTTCTCTAATTTAATGGTTTTCCTTCGCATACACCCCTATATTCCCCGGGCACACGCTCCGCACAGAATGCACGAGCATGTAATTATCTAACGTGAGCGTAATGTAAACTCTGCGGACAAATACACGAATTGCTAAATGTTACCTTTTCTTTTCACAATGCAAAAATCCAGCACGTATAATTTGATTAATTTGTGTTTGTGTTGTTTATCCAACTGCAGCATGCATAACATTGAGGTTAGATTAAAATGCGATTGAGGTTAGGTTACTTTTGTAATGGAATCGTTTGGTTTTATTATGATATTGAGAGTTATGGCAAGGAATAAGCCTAATGGAGCCGGAAACGATTTTCATTTGCCCGTTAAGGTCGTAAAACATTTACTATTATTGGTTTCACGAGTAGTTGGGCAGGAGACACCACCGCGCACACCATCATATTACAATCCACCCTTCTGCGGCCTCCACCCTCTTTCTTTTACCATCTTATTCACAAAGCCTTCGTGGCTGGGCCCGGGAAGCCTTAGTATCTTAAACTTTCCCCAATTTTACCCACCTACAACATCACCTCAAACATCCCCTATATTCCTATATGGTATTGGTTTTCTTTGGGGTTAAAAGGTGGATTTTGTGTGGCTTCTCCTTCAAAAATAAGGAAAAAACAAACAGAATGACTATAGGCAACCAGTAATGCATTGTTTGTGTATATTGGGTTGCCTATAGTAACATAGGCCAATATTAGTTCAGTGTCTAAATGTTTGCGGTTGATTTGTTAATAAAATGTGTTTTAACGATAATGAAAATCCATAAATCACACTCTACGCCTATTACGGTGACTCTGATTCGGGCGAGCCGTTGGTACTCAACTGTTTTAATGTATTTGCTACGGTCTAATAATGGAAGTAATGTTCAAACATAACATTACATGGCGCAAGTGTTTGTTGGGTATCGGACTATTGGTCCATTGGCATTTCGTGTGTCTGTTTGCCCAGTCGGCTTTAATGCAAATGCGCGCTCCATGCATTTAATGTGTGTGATGTTATGTCGCTGGGCGACCGGGGGCGGATTATGTTTACGTGCACGAGGCTCAGGTTTACGTTCAACTTTATTTGCGTTCGCATTATCATCAGAAACTGCCGGCCGGTCATTTAATCACTCAATCATTCTCGCTTGAGTATTGATTTAATGGTTTAATCATTATTATTAGAAAAAATATAAACACCCTGTATATCCCAATGTAATTAAGGAATAAATTCACCCACCTACATTAATATCTTAAGATGAATTTAATGAAGCTTCATTTGCTTGATGAGATTGTAAATTCGTATTCGCATTGGTCAAAGTTTGCACTGTCGAGAAGGGTTGTAATTGCATTCGAAGGGGTGTTCAATTGTCCGCACCATTAACTACTATCAAACAACTAACGGCGTTGTCGCGCATAAACCGATATACGTCGATATCACTTTACGCTACAAACTATCCACATACATCAAGATCACAAAACAACCCCTAAGTTCCCAGAGCTCAGGAAATTACAACCGGAGGTATAGGCAATCGAGTTATTTATTTAATTACTGAGATTTGTGTCAAATGTCATTACAGAGGAACTTTAATCTTGTGATTTAGGTGTAGAGTTGTTGCTTTTTTAAAGATTTATTTACTTTTTGCTTTTTATTCAACCACAGAATGATGTATGAGATTTCTTTAAGCTATTTCCTTGACTTTGTAAAGAAAAACTTTTAATATGCTTATTTAAAGTAGTTTTTTTGTGAATTTTTGTTCTGTTCACTCAGGAAATTACGTCTTCTAAACGCATTTCCGCATTTTGCACACGTCTGGAAATACTCGGTCATTTTTACTTATTTTTACTTATTTTTAGTTATTTTTATCTTTTGCCTGCAACTTAGTTCCGGAAGTGTTTAATAAAAATGTAATTTGTTTTTACTCTCTTGTTCTAGACTTGTATGTGTCAATTCTATCAATAAAATTCGCAAGTTTATTTTAAAGAAATTAATTATATAAAGAATTGCTAATAATGCACTTCAGCGGGCCATCTCGGATTCAACTATTTAACTATAACTATGATAGAATCACAAAGCCAAATTTTATCTTATAGAAAATGGCTTTTTTAGGGTTTTCCCGACAATTGTTTGAATTTTTCTCGCCGTAAAAACCATCCTTGGAGTTTAACAAACATTAAAAAAGAAGAATTGGTCAAATTGGTCAAGGCGTTGTTGAGTTATTCGCTTTCCAACACAATTTGCGATTTTTATATTATAAATACTAGCTTTTGCCTGCGACTTCGTCCAGGTAGTGTTTAATAAAAATCTTATTTGTTTTTATTCTCTTATTCTAGACATAGTATGTGTCAATTCTATCAATAATTAATTACATAAAAAATTGCTAATAATGTATTTCAGCGCGCCATCTCGGATTCAACTATTTAACTATAACTATGATTGAATCTTAATACCAACTTTTATCCTATAGAAAACGACTGTCCCGACAATTATTCCAATTTTTCTCGCCCTAAAAACCATCCTTAGACTTTAACAAACATTTCAAAAAAAGAATTGGCTAAATTGATCTAAGCGTTG